ATTAACTGATGTGGCTGACTGCCTGGACTAGAAAGCTTCTACACTTCCAGCTTGGCAGCAAAAGCCTTTGAGATTTGCAGCTAAGCGTTCGTTGAGAGAATGATTCCAGTTACCAACCATAATAGTGGGAAACTGATAGGTTACTTTGATTGAAAATTGAGCCAGGATTGAATTCATTGCAACCTTTTTCTTTAGGATATTCTGTCCAAAGGAAGTATAACCTGAGGGACCTTAGGTCTAGTGCTTTTAGGCCCCCATGACCACCTCCCATTCTGACACATTTTAAGATCCAACTTAAAATTGACCAGGGGAGGAGGGGGTTGGAAATAATTCTCCAAAACTTGCTTTCCTGAAATGCAGTTTTCACCCTTGTACAGTCTAAGGCAGTAATTCTCAACAAGGGTGTTAGGCATCCGGGTGATGCAAGACCCTTTTAATGGTGCCATGGTGTGCTGCTCAATATTAGCAATGTTAGGTGTGCAAACACCACACATGATTCACAAGATAAACCCAGACATTTCAAGTAGGAATCCATAGTGCCAAAACCATTTTGACCTGTTGTTGTCCTTAGGGTCTTTGCAACAGAAAAAAATGCTCTATTACTTTTCCATAATCAAAAGATGAGTAAAAAAAAGCTGGCATTTTCCAAAGGGTGGCTTGAGTCTAACAAGATGAGAAACACTATTCTAAGAAGGCAGACCAGGTTCTTTGGGTAAATCTGATATCTTTTATTATATCAACTAAAATAGTTGGAAAAAAATTCTTTGCAAGCTTTCAGGTATAAATACCCTTCCTCAGGTTGGGGAAGCATCTGCAGCTGGCATGTGCTCTTCCTAGACGGAATGAATAGTAAAGAAGCCACAGGCTGGTATGCATGCAAGAAAGCCAGTTAATGAAGATGTAAGTTGAGGAGTCAGTGAGTGAGAGACAGGCTTGGGGACAGAATGGGAAGGTGAAGGAATGTAGGTGGTAAATAGTGGAGAGGTACCTGGGGAGTCAGCTGATAGGCAGGTTATGTGTCATAAATCTGGTGTCTATATTTAGTTCATGATTTTTTGTATCCAGTAGATTGAGAAAGTGAAGTTCATCAGCTCATCTGTGAAAGGTGTTTTGTAAATTCCCTTTGAGGATTAGAACTGAGAGATTGGAGAGAGAGTTGTTTTCTTGTGAGAAATACAACCCCACAGCTAATTGGGTATTCTTGTCTTAGATTTCCGGTGTGCATTCACTCTGGTGTGCAGTTGTTGTTTGGTCTCTCCTACATGTTTTCCATCAGGGCATTTGCTGCATTGGATGAGATATATTACATTTCTGGAGGTGCACTTCTAAGATCCAGGAATGCTAATGGTTCTGTTGTGGGGTGTAGCGTGGGGTTGGTGGAGAGATGTTGGAAGGTTTTACGTGTCTTATCATGGCCTGGTCTGGATCCATTTAGTGCGTTTTGGGCTGTAGAAAGTTTGCTTCTGGTGATGAGGTTAGTGAGGGTTCAATGCTTGTTTGAAGGCGAAGATGGATGGTCCTGGGAAGATCTCTTTTAAGAACTGGGTCTTCGAGTATGGGCTGTACTTGTTTGACGATTTTCTGTATATGTACAAGGGAGGGATATTGTCATAACCAGTGGTGTGCAATTCATGGGGCTTTGTTTCCCTTCTAAGAACCCCCCCATGAATCCTTTACTATTCTAAGAACTCATTCTATACCATGGTAAATTTTAATTTCATCTTAATGATTTCAGACTTAGTCTCATTTTCCCATTTTTTGTAAGACTATATGTTTTTGTATTTCAGATGAATTAATGAGAGTGCAAAAGGCGCACTGAGAAGGTATTTTAATTTTTATCTTATACAAGCCAATTGCCCATCAAGAATGACCCAGGGCAGGGGGAGGCAGGCAGGACAGAGCGCCACCACCTACTGGCCCATACTGCTGCTGCTCTGCCTCCTATCCTGTATACTCCCCTCACCCCCTGCTGCCCCACCCCGTGGCGCTGCCACCTCCCAGGCACGGGAGAGGGTGGGAAGCTTGCACATGGTGGCTGCAGCCCCCACCCAGCAGCCTGCATTGCCACTGCTGCACGTCTAGCCCTGCGCAACCCCCTCCCCCTCCCTACCTACTGGCTATTCTCAGGACCTGGCAGCAGTGGCAGGGTGCAGCCACTGTGCCCCCACTCCCCTTCCTGCCACCTCCCCCTCCCTGCCAGATTTTGTTGGGGCCCAGTGGCAGCAGTGGTGAGGTCAGAGCAGGGGGGTGAAGCCAGTGCTGCGCCAACACACCATGCTGCCGCCTCCCAGGAGTGGGGGGGGATAAGGTTGCCCCACCATCCTCTCTGTCCCCCTTGGCCAGCACCCTGTGCTGCTGCCGCCTCCAAGGAGCAGGGCTGGGGGAGTGGGGAAGTGAGGCCAGCAGTGCTGGCCTTGCCCCCCTGCTCCATCTGCTCCCTTGTCACTGCCGCCAGGGAGCAGGGCGGAAGGGGGGTGGCAAAGCCAGCGGCATTGGCTTTGCCCCTCTGCTCCATCTGCTCTGTCACCGCCATCATGGCTGCGCCACCACTGCCTCCTGTCTGGAATGCTCCTGAACAGTCCAATTGGTTATTTCAGACAACCAGAGTGCGAATAAAGCATTAGACAGACAGACAGACAGACAGACAGACAGACAGACAGACAGACAGACAGACAGACAGACAGACAGACAGACAGACAGACAGACAGACAGACAGACAGACAGACAGACAGACAGACAGACAGACAGACAGACAGACAGACAGACAGACAGACAGACAGACAGACACTTTTATAATATTATAATTCTTCATCATGATGCAACATTCAGGTAGATGACAAAAATATAATTGAAAAATCATACTTACTACTAACTCTGGAGGTTTCCAGAGAGCAAGGTTGAATAAAAAACTCTCTCTCATCTCCACTTTGTGTGAGTAAACAAAAGATTTGAGAGAAATCCTCAAATAAAAAAAGTGAGACTGTACTTCCCCAATATACAGCCACATTCAGATTTAGCTTATTTCAGAGACAAAAACCCAACTACAAAGTTCTGATCTGAATTCAAACTGCCCCACAGTTTGGTAGCCTTGCCTTAGGGGGGCTTTTCAGACCCAGCTCTAGTTAATCAGCCCTATTCATAATACATGAGATAGAGCCCAATCAGAAGAGATTTGGTTTTGAAGAACTCTATGGATAAAGCAAAGTTACATAAATACAACAGAGTTACCTTTGGAGTATGAAATATTGTTAATCATTATGATTCTCATTTGACTTATTTCCACATTTATTGGATATAATAATGCCCCGAGTTAAGGCATGCAGACTGTACAAAGTACAGTCTCTCAGTAGTTGTATAAAGCCTTGACCGCAGCAACAGCAAGGTCATCTAGAGCAATAACGTGTTTCTTCACTTGATGCTTTTGAGTCATTTCAGCATAGCTAAGGTTTACATTTTTAAAAGTGATAGAGCTGGGGATAACGGTTTATCTGCACATGAAAATTACTTCAGAATAAGGTGAGTATGAACTTGTTGATATTCTGGATTTAATATCCCTGAAGTTTTTTCAGGGTAGCTACTCTGGATACCTCAATGAATCAGTCCCAAGCAAGCCAAATACTCTTCATACCTACTTCATATCTAGTTAAAATTGCATGGAGATTTCACGTGCAATCCCCAGGGCTAATGGAAGATTATGCAAAGTCAAGACAGAGTTATCCAAAAAAGACACAGGCATATAAAACAGTACCGCTTCTAGTCTAAGGTCCCCTTTGTATGTGCAGGTAAAGGAGTGATGGGATCAAATGCACAATCCACATAATCACACCTCCTGCCATGCCACTTGTGCCACCAGGCCACACATTCAATCAATTAATGGCAAGATAGGAAGCAGCTACAAAGTTATTACATATCTTTCATGGAACACCTTTGTAGTATATTCCTCTTTTTATCATGCCATCAATTGATTGAATATGTGGCCACTTAAGGAGTGATTAACTGGTTAAGGCATGATTAACAAGTTAAGTATGAGTAGATGGGGCCTGATACACACAGTACAGATTCCAATTGCAAAAGCAGTACATGAAACATTGTAATGTATTAAGAGACTTTAATTTAAAGTTTAAAAATTAAGATTTAAAAATATTCCCACCAATTCAAGTATCAGATCACTTACTTCCATGGCTCAGAAATATCAACGCATCAAAGAGAAAGCAGCTAAAAATGCTGCTCAGTTCTGAATAACTCAAAGCAGTATCATATTGTTTTATACGTATTACATCACAAACGGCATATCAAATAGACTCCATTTCTAAATGTGGATTTTTTTTCCTTCAGTATTTCTAACCCAAAGGGTCCCAGGGCAAAGTTAGAGTCTCACCTCTGAATTGCTTTAGCAATATTCTTAAGAACCATACATTTGAAGGCCACAGTTTTGCAAGTGACACATGTGACTCATTACCTTCAAAAGGCTGCCCATGTGTTAACAAACAGAATTTAGTAAATTATTAGTTTGATGGGTAACAATGCAGATGTTTTGCTGATGCAAACTTATGGAGAAAGAGAGGAAGTAAAAGTGCTTGATCTGGTTGGTGCTACTAATTATAGCAATTCTTGTAACAAGTGGTCATGGCATGATTCAGTATGAAGAGCAACACAGCAAATGTTTGCTAAAACAGATTATCGATATTGCCACTAGAGTATACAAACAGGACTCTGAACTCACAGACAGCTGATCTGATGAATAAGCAGCTGTTTTATTTATTGATTTATTTATTTTTTTAAAGTTATTTTTCAGACCAGAATTATGTTGTAAGGCACTTTGGACTTGATTGATAAAGCATGCCTAAATAATCACTGCCTAACTGATACAGAACCTTATGTCTATGGGACATCAGCTTCTAAGTCACCTAACCACTTTTGAAGATGTTACTGTCTGTCATCATTAGCGTAAATGTCAGCTTTTAGAGAGACATATAGAACAAATCAATTATTCCAAATACTGCTTTAAAAGAAGATTTATTAACAACATTCTTGAAAAGTGATAATTTAAATGGTGAGGGAGGAAGCAGTTGTCAGTATCCATATAAATCAAAAGAGTTAAGTCTTATATTACATATTGCTATTAAGGCTCTTAGTATAATGAAAAGCCCAACTGAATTTAATACAGTATTAAACACCCAAAACTTCTAAAAAAAGTTTCAAATATCAGTCCTATTGAACTATTTATAAAATACATTTCAGTAGTTGACACTAGCCTATCAAATTTTATCCTCATCCTTGATTTTAGCAAACCAAGAACCTAAGCCCTAAAAGAAAAAAATTGCTAGTTTACATCCTGTCAAACTGCAACATGTGTGAGACACCACACAGAACAGTAATTAGGCATGAAGCAATACAGACTTCTCACAGCAGGCTGCTAAACGCACAGTTAAACATGTTGCCAAACTAACACACTAGTTTGGTTACCAGCTAAGCTTACAATTAATCTAAACGTTCTTTCAGAGGGAAAGATGGGTTCATTTTATACAGGCTTATAAAGTCTTTAAATGTTTGAAAATACAGCATGATGCTGAGCTACTGTTATGAGCCCTTAACTTTTTAAGCGTTATTTTCAGAAACTTCTCTCACAACCATGTGTTTTGTGTCTGAGGCTGGGCTTGTCAGAAAGCACGACATTTCATAACAGCCACTTAGCACTTTACCCTAAAAAGGAAAAAAATAATAATTTAAAGGAAATTACTGTTAACATAATTTTCCTGCAAAGAAAAAAAACCCCTTTGCAATCTGCTATTAAACACTGAGGTATTTCTGATGCCAAAACTGAATGAATAAAACTCAAAAAATATCGAAAGAGGGTTTGGATGGCTTAGAGAATTTGTAATGGGATATGACAGCCTTTCACCTTGAAGCTGCCAGTCCAAGTCTGGTGCAGGTCAATAATCACACAGCTGGCTTGTGGCCTTTAGCAGCTGCAGCCAAGGAGAACCCTTGTTGACCGTCTCTACAGAGTGGTCAACAATTGACATAGTCATAGATACTAAGTAATTACATATACCGGAGCAACTAGAAAAATTCATCCAAATTAACCTTTAATTAATTTTTTTTTTAAAAGGCAAGAAACCTGTGTGGGGATCAGAATGAAAGGGGTATTAGCTCAATTTGCTTAAAAAAAAATCAATGATGACAAATCCAATTTAATCTGGATTAATTTTCTAGAGTGCTCCTGTTTTAAGAGACCCTAAATCACCCACTCACCTCTAGAATCTACTCTGGCAAAACCAGTCCTGAGGCACTTTAGTGAGATATAATAGGAAAATCTGCATTGCCAGTGCTCATTCTCTGTCAATGGTGAATATCAGCCACAAAGGTTCTCCACCTGGCACCTTCTATATGAATTTGAATACAAGAAAAGTTGTATTACAACTGTTACACAGAATTAGAAGGGGTGAACTTCAGCAGTTCAGTTATTGGCTTCTCCAAGTCTCTTTGGTGTAAAGTGTTAGCATTTCTGCCAAATTCTACTTTATGCCTAATCCCTCCCTCCCTCAGTATTTTCTTCATTTGCAGTTTTCAAAAGAAAAATGTCAGCTGTTAACACGTACCAAATTCTAAATATGAACTAAACTAATGATTTAGCCTGCTTTACCCTTTCAAAAAAGGATAGAAATTGTCTAAATGACAAATTAAAACACATGCACTGGCCTTAACTAAGAGAGGAAAAAATTAATCACTGTTTACTACATTTTGCACGGCACCAACTGCAAAGACCTTGCAAAAATTATCCAAATTCTAGGACTAGTGGGAAACAAAGCTACAGAATTCCTCTCTGACCCTGATCCTATACCCAATAAAATTCTACAAGTGAAGGATCAAAATCTACAAACCTATAGCAAGTAGCCAAGCCAAAAATTCAGAGTTTTCTTTTTTTTAAAACTTTTAGATGCTGGTGTTAAAGAAAGGAGCCAGAGGTTTCAGTTTTATCCTTTCTTTTTTGGTTACATTTAAAGTTTTATGCACAATTAAGTAAACCAAAGCAAATTCACTCATGTTGCCAATTCCTAAATATCAAAGACCTTGTGTAAAGGCAACTTTACTGTCACTGCTAACTGAGGGAATGGCCAATGATGCATGAGTCAGAAAGAAAAACCAATGCAGTTGTTCTATCTCCACCTTTATGGCTTATAGTGCATGTGTTTTAATATAAAGAGCTAAGATATTTAGACAGTTGCACTGTTACTTTTTGTCTCATATGTCATCTCTGGATTCAAAAGCTTGAGAGTAGCATCCTCTTCAGGACTTCCTAGTAAAACAACCCAACCAATTTTTAAGCATATAGAAATCAGAAAGTCAGTTTATGCCCATGGGCTACAGGCATTGGTATAAAAATACATTGTGTACAACACGTGTTTGGAAAATTGCATAGACAATATCTATTTATTTAAAGTGAAATAAGGCACAATTTTACTAAATATATTTTGGCTATTAAAATGCAAATCTATTTCAATCACTCTGATATAATGTACTTAAACATCTTTCCATAAAAATAGAGGTGCTAATGTAAAAAAGGCAACTCTCTTTGTCCAGGATATGAAATACTCTAGTGTAAAAATTAAATCAGTCAAGTTTTTTGTAGTTTAGGTGCAGAAAATTTGAACAATGCTATTTCAGATGAGGATCCTTTGCATTATTGTCCTCCAGACTGTTCATTGGTTGTTGCAGCATTTTCTTCATTTGCTGTATAATCCAGATGTTCCATCATCTAGGCATAAACAACAAGAGGACACTTTATAAAAAACCCCCATTTTTTTTTTATTTTTTTATTTAGAGGGCTAAAATTTTAAATTAGTTAAAAGAAATCTAGCTAGATCAGCAGCAGAGCAGAGTTTAGCAGCATACAGAGAGGAAATCCTCTGCAGGACTGAAAAAAAGCATCATCTGAGCCAGATAATTAAATATGGAAACCAACCCCTTGTTACCACTTCGAAACCCTTAGATGAAATGCTGTCACAGAATTCTGAGACACTTTCCACTGTGTCTCAGAACACCGCTCTAAAAGGTAGGCAGCAAGATTCAAGGTCCCTTGGACCTGCTGGTGGAGTCACATATCAAGAAATACAGGTGAACAGCCAAACCCTCATCTTTGGACAGTAAAGTAACTCAGCCCAATCTGGCACTAAGGGATGTGCCCCTCAAGGGACTGTACGAAGGTCAAAGACAGAACATGCTGTGTGGAACCTTGACGCTGATTTGGCTACTAGAGGAAAAACATCCTAACTAGAATTAAATCCAGGGTTTAGTGTAATATTTTCATATTAGGACATTAAAAAACAAAGCTAAATTGTGTTAAGTTCCAATAGTAATAAATAAGCAAGCAAGCAAGGTGTAAGAAAGGTACAACTCTATTTTCAGTTCCATCTTTAACATTACACAGACACTCTTGAGCCAAAACCCTTGTCATTGATGTCAAGACAAAATTCCCACAGAATTTAATAGAGATAGGATTTCACTTACAGTCTGACCTGAAAACCCCTTTACGGGCTTTTAATATTTCTACTGCTGGAAAATTCAATAATCAAAAAAGTCAAATGGTACTAAAATTTATTCCTCTTTAGGTGTACACCAGAGCAGTGGTTTCCTATCAGAAGAGACTACCACTGGACAAGTGCTACTCCATCATTTGGCTAATGGTACCTATCCTTCACTATCCTTGTCATTCTAAGATCAATACATTAAAAACTGATTTATAAGTAATGTATTTTACAAACATTTCCTTGCCAGACAGATGAGTACTAATTACAGGCCCAGCTGAAAAATCCACTGAAGTCAACTGAAGACTGCCATATCAACAGTAGCCTTTGGATGAAGGCCCATATTAGCAACAGTGATCCTCTAACTCAGTAGAACTCATAACATGCCAAAACCCAACTACAAACTAGAGGGGAGAAATAGTGTAGTGCAGAGTGTTTAGAAATGATAGGCAATTAATCTCTTCAGCATAAATATTCTATAGCCCAAATTCCAGGATCTTATACCTCTTTACATTAAAAATAATAAAAGATAATATAGCATATAATCTTTCTGCCTCATGAATTTAGAAGAGCTGTATTACTCATGGCATTATATTTAGCATGGGAGGAGCAGGAAGAGGAAAGGTGGGAGTTACTTGCAAAACTGTAAAAACAAAGCTGGTGATATTACTATACAGCTACAAACTGTGACAGTTCCAGGGACTAATCTCTGGGTAGCTACCCTAACAAGAGACAACTGCTTGCTCCCTATGGGAAAATCTGAACCTTCCCAGGTAGCATAAGCTCTTATTTCTACCACAAAGGACAGCAAGATGCTTTGAATCAGGGTATTTGATCCTTAGACACCCTTGTTTCTAGTCTTGGAATGTCCTACATGGAATATCTTAAACTTATAACCTTTTTAGATGGAAGAACTCAATTAGGTAGTTTTTACTACAAGAGGAAGCTGTAACTTCCTTCTGCTTCTGGGGTTTCTTTAGCTGGATTCATGGTAACTGAAGCAACCTTCCTTTAGTGGGTAGGGGTTAAAAATGTGCTGATAAAATATAGAAATTGTCTAAAATTATTTTGTTATATATGTAAGTAACACACAATGGCAGGTGATAAAGGTTTTACTGACAAGAAATGTCAATGGTCTGTTTACCTAACATTGATAAAAATGTTACACTGTTATATTATATGTTCACCTACATTTTATATATGAATACATGTGTACTTTAAACTTCAAACTCTGATGGGTTGGCATCAGTTAACTTCTAGTTAACTGCATCCGTTTCTCGCAAGCAACTTTCTTCCTGTGCTCTCAAAGTTGGAGCAAATGCATGGAACAGATCACATTTTAACAACAGACATGGACTGGATGTTGACAGACAGACAGACAGACAGACAGACAGACAGACAGACAGACAGACAGACAGACAGACAGACAGACAGACAGACAGACAGCTCCCTACATAAAGCCAGTATCTAATATTTTAGGCTTGGGAAAAATGCAAAGAAAGATAAAAGTATTTTCTCACCACAAAGATATGCCTGCATCTCTAAGATTCTCACCCCCCCACCCCCCTCTGGGACAAGATTGTTTTTTAAGGGTTTAAAACAAACTATGGCTTTACAGAACACAAAAAACCCCTGAAGTTCTACTAATAGAAGTATTTGTAAAGTAAGCTATAAAGAATATGCACCTGGAAATAAATCAGACCAAAGAACCCATTTTGCATTTGACTACACCTGTGAAACACACAGTCCAAAAAGCCCAATTCATTTGAGAAACGTTATAGCTGAAGGCAGAATTGCTTGGTACTTGGAAAAGTAAATCATGCACTTTTTCAAGTGAACCTTGTGGTTTAGTGAGTCATGAAATGTGGTTTAGTAAGCCTGCCTGCAATGATCCATTAT